TTATTATTAAAATTAATTTATTTTCTTAACTTTATCCTCTATTTAATTATAGATAATTATAATTATTGTAGTTACCTATAAAATATTTAAATAATATTAGAACAAAATCATTTCTTTTTATTATTATTTTAAAATAATTTATTTTATTTTAACTTATTATTTTAAAATAAAATAAAAAAATATAAATTTTTTAAAATTAAAATAATATATAATTTAGATTAATTTTGTAATTTGTCTTTTAGAAAGAAATTGTATGGATCTTATATATTTATATTTCAGTATTTTTGGTTAACTCTTGATGCATAAACTGGATTTATTTTGATTCAGATTTGATCCATATTTTCAAAAACTTAATTAGAGATAATTTATGACTATTCTATGCTAATAACTACTAATATTAAAATCAATAAAGTAATTTGAATATCTAAAAAAAATTGTCAGTCCAATTTTATATTTCTTTTATTTAAAAAAATTTGTATTTATTCATCGTATATATTAAAACAGATTTAATTTTTTTTTTAAAATTATTGATTACTTATTATTGATTATTGATTTTATTATACAAGATTGAGAAACGAACTAGTAATAAGATAGTACAAAAGCAAAAAGTATATTTGAAAAGTATATTTTGACTGTTTCTAGCTTTAATGCTTATTTTACTCAAAAATAATTGAAAATTATTCAAACATATATGTATAATTACATATATATAATATATACATATCATACGTATACATGTAATTATTTAAATCATAATAAATATGATAAATTGATAATAAAACAAATATACTTAATTATTTTTTTATATTTTTTTATCAAAATAACAATAAAAAATAAAAACAATTTTATATTCATCATATATTTTAAATTTAGTACTAAAAGATAATTTGATTCAAATTTTTTAATATAATTTTTTAATATATATAATATTGGAGAATTTTCTTAATATTTCTATTCTTTATCTGAGTTTTTATACTAAACTATTTTATTAATAATTATTTTTTATAGAAAAATATATATATATTTCACATAAATATTTTAAATAAATTATAATTAATAATATTCCATTATATTTAAATAGAATTTTATTTGATTTATGCTCATATGTTTTGATTAAAAATAACTTATCATATAACATATCAGGTTTTTACATCTGGTTATTATTCTATTAAATAAATAAAGAATATGATGTATATAGTTCTATTAAATAATAATTATGATAAAATTTCAATAAAAAGAAATTCAATTACATTAAATTTTATATTCTATTTAAATAAATTTATATAATTTATATCATAATAATAATAATTTTATTATTTATATTATAAGAAATATTGATTTTTAGTAATATAAAATTATACATAAAAATATACATGTAATATGTGATAATAATATCTGTTTTTTATTTATTTTAATTTTATAATTCATAAAAAATATAACAACAAAATATAAGTTTCATATACTATTAATTAATTGAAAGTAAAATTATTATAAGTAAGTTTAAAATAAATACTTTTTGACATACTTTTGATATCCACTTTAATATATCCACTGATTAAAATCAACAAAATTTTTTTCTGTTGTTAAACATAAAATAATTTTTATTAAAAATCTTACTTGGCAGTTCAGGAGGTTGAGGAGGAGTGTGTGTTTGTTGTGTGGAAACAAGCCCTAAAGAACTAGAAGCTACAACACTGCTTCCAGTTGCTCCAGCTGCTCCAACAGAAGAACTTGTTGTGGGTCCAGGTGGGGGAGCTGAAATAAAATAATATATTTAATTAAATATTAATATATTAAATATTTCGAGTAATTTATGATTATAAATACTATATATATTATACTTTATATTAAGAATATTTGGAAATATAATAAAATGAAATAAATTGATATATTAAAAAATATATATATTTTATTTTTAATATATTTTTAAAATGAAATATTACAAAATTATAGAATTTTTTTATAAGTATTTTATAAAAAAATATAAGTCTGAAATTATTGTCGAGAAGAATATTATTTGCTATAACTTTTTAACTTTATAAAATAAAAAAAATATATATTTCAAATAAATTTTATTACATTTATTACATTTCATAATTCTCTAAAGAAAATGAATTTATTGGTTAATAGTTAAAGAATTTTTAGTTTTTTACTTTTTATATGGAATATCTTACACAGGATGTATTTAGTAACTAGGATGAACTCTATCTAAACTGCAAGAAAAGAAAAAAGACAAGAAAAAATAAGAAAATTTCGTTCTGTTTAACATTCTCTATTATTCTTAAATTATATATTACTATATAAATTTTTTTACAGACATACCAATATAAAATGTAAATTTAAAATGTAAATTTATTTTTTTTTGGCATAAATTTATTCTTTGCATCATTTTATATATAAAATGATAGAAAAATCACTGAAAATTCATTGAAAATTTTCAATTTCAAAAATACTTTTCAAGATAATTAGATTAATTATAAACATCACTTTAATAAATGTACAAATGCATAAATACTTCATTACATTTTAAATATTTTCATAAATTTTTTGATATTATTTATTACATCAAATATGCAGCATATTTAAACAATTATCTATAATTTTTTTTATGTTATCTAATGAAATAAATTATAAGTATGTTTTATTCTTTAAAATATTTCTACACAATTTAGTATCTTTATTGATACTTTAGTTATTATAGTTACTTGATTGAATTTTTTTAGAGTTTTTTAGAATTTAAAAGAATATATATAAGATATATTCTTCAAGAAAAACAAAATTAAATAAGTAAATATTTACTGTAAAATGTAATTTTTAAGTGAAAATAAAATTAAATTAAAATTAAAATAAAAATTCATTAAATTAAACAATTTAATGAAAAGTAACAAAAAATATATAAAAGAATATTTATACATTGTAATTATACATCTTACTTATGCATTTTTTATAAATATTAATATTAAAATTAAATAAAATATTTTTAAAAAATGCAAACGCATATTCCAATTATATACTCATATAATAAAATATAATAACAATGGATAATTTTCCTGTTTTTTTCCATTTTTTTTTCAATTTCATTTAGAATAGAATTATAATTTTTCTCAATTATTAAATATATTTATATTATATATATACAAAGCAATATAAATTATTTTTTTAAATTGTAAATATTAGTTTACTTCTTTTTTTCTAAATTAAATAAAATAAATGATTAATCAGTTTAAATGCAATTAATTTTGCAAAATTTCTAGTTTCTTTTTAATTTTGCCTTTTTTAAACAGAATAAAATATCAATATTTTATTAATTAACTAATTCATTGAATAAAACTACTCAATTAAATAGTCATTGTTATGTTAAATAATATTATTTGCTTAAAATATTTTTTTTAATTTTATATATATATTTTAATATATATTATTATATATAATAAATTTATAGAAATGATTTCTCTTTAAAATAATTTAAATTAGTAAAAAATTAATATATTTTGAATTAAGAATAATGAATTTGAATTAAGAATAATTTTAATAAATGTTCAAAATTATATTATAAAAATCTATTAAAATCTATTATTTTTACAAATTATTAATAAAAAATAATGTATTTTAATTTATAGATTTAATTGAAAAATATAAGTGAAGATTTTTAAATATATCAATAGAAATATTTATAATTTTAAATATTTATAAAATAATTTTTAATTTAGAACATATCTAGCAAGAATATTGATTCAGAAATTATTTATTATTTTTTAATAATTTTTTAGTATCAATATAATATTTAAATAACTTAATATTTTTTCAATGATTTTTTTGTTATAACATATAGCATTAAATAATTCATATTCAATAAATTAAAAATATATCAATTAAAAAAATATATAATAAAAATTACAAATAAATATACGAGAATCATTTATGAAGATCTTATATAAATATAAATTAATAATAAAATTCAAAAATATCAATAACACAATAAGAATAAAAGGTAGTTTATAAAAATAAAAAGTATATTATAAAAATATTGAAAAACCTAATTTTTAATTTATTTTAATATAATAATAAAATAATATATTAAAAATATTATAAGTAATAAAAATACATTAGTAATAGATTTATATACATATGTGCTCATACATTATCCGTGCATTGACGGATCAGAGTGACGACACATTGTGCCTGTTGAACGAGGTTCACTCGAGGTCATATTTTAAATTTTCCTCGATTTGTTAAACTTTAACTTATTGCTATGAAAGAATTGTATTAGCACATGCATAAATCCAAAGGATTCTGACTACTTCAAAGTAATCAAATGAAAACAAAGGATCAGATTTAGTCAAGCATTGAAATTCTGTTCTTGCTTAGAAATACATAAAAGCCTATTTTGAAATATTTTAAAATGTTATAAAAAAAAAATAATCGTAGCAAGATACTCACGCTGCCCTACAGGATACATTTTTGCAGCTGACGGTGAAAAAGACCAGATAACCACTAATAAATAAGTAAAAAATTTAACACAAAACCCACTGACCACACAACACACTTCTCCACAATACACACTGCGAACGAGACTGCCTCCTGCAATGGCTGCCACCAACTTGATTTCGATTGATCTTATCTTGACCAATCAGAGTATAAATAATAAAACGATAATTAATAATTCTTAGCATCATTATTATTTTTTAAATTATTTTAATTTTCAATTTTTGAATAATAACACATTAGTAAATATTATATAAACATATATAATATACAAATTTATAAAACATCAATAATATAATGCGTTAGTAATATTTTTAATATTACATTATTACAATATTTCAAAATTATTAAAAAATTGAGTGTTTCAAATGTAATAAAGTAATAAAATTTGTTATATTTTATTTTATGTTAATAAATATCGTATTTTTAATAAATTTTATAGTTTAATAATAAATAATTTTCAGTTATATTGGTTACACTGCATCAAACTATATCCCCTAGATTGCTACTGTTGGTGATATGCACTGCATGCGATTGCGTGCTCGATTTCCGAAATGTCGATCCCTCTCAATGGAACTCGTACACGTTCAAAAGGAATAATAAGTGCAATAGCAAAGCATTTGAGAACTTTATCTTTAAAACCAGTTAAATCAATTGATATAAAATTCGATCCCTTTCATGATAAAGCCTTGGAAGCAAGGTTAGTACAATAAAATTTTGTTTGCTATTTATATATATTTTATTAAAAATTAATCATAGTATATAATATTTCTTATTTTAATTTTATATTAAAAATATTACGTTATAATTTTTTATATATATAAATTAACAATTACTTTAATCGATATATTTTAAATTATTTTCGTAATATAAAACTTGCATTATTTTTTTATCTTTTATTTTAAATGTTTCATTTTGAAAATATTATAATAATTTTTTTTATAATTACAAATTTTATTTCAATAAGTAACGATTATTTTACGCTTATTGTAGAAAGTTGGTTAGTTTAATGACGTCAATATTGTACGCATGTGCAATATGAAATTTCTAGTAACTAGCAGACGACATCAGTATTTTTAGAAAATTTTAGTGATTAGTTTTATTATAATGAAAGTTATGATATGAAAATTAAATAAGCTTTAAATATTTATATTGGAAATTGGCATAAACGTAAAATATAATTTCTTATTTTTTATACAATTCAAGATATAATTGAGTTTTAAATGCGATTACACAAGGTATTATATACGATTATACTCTATATTATAAAACTATTAAAAATAACGATTTATTTGATTTGTTATAATAATATTATCATAGTTATATCATTAATAATATATTGAATTAAAAGATTTTTTTAATTTTTTTAACGGAGCGATATCTAAATATTTGTATTTTATATTTATATACAAAATAAATTTTTATTTATAATTTTAACATATTTATTTAAAACATTTTTATGACTTTACATAAAAAATTTTTTTCTCTAAAATTCTTTTACATAGTTACAATTTGACAATTTACTATTTTAATTCATTTGAAATTATAAGTAATGTTAAATAATTATTGACATGATGATTCTGAATATAATTTTAAATTTAATCATGAATTTAAAATTTCTAATATTTATAATTACATAAAATATTTACATAATTATTTATATTATTTTGCTTATATTTCACTAATTTTTTTATTAATTATTTTTAAATATTGATTGATACTAATTTTGTTGCAAAATGCTCTTTTATATTGAATTAATATGAATACAAAATACTAATATAAGTTATTTATATTTTGTTATTTTTCTTCTAAATCTATTTTAATTAATAATCTTATCTTATAAAATGAATGATAATTGATATTAATTGATATTTATTTAAAATTCTTTTTTTTTGTTATTTAAATTTTTTTTCTGTATATATTTAAATATTTTGGATTCTTAAACTATTGATATGATATTTTTTTCTATTAATTCTTATATATATATATATATATATATATATATGATAAAAAATATATGATAAATAATTTTTTTAATACTTTAATTACTTTATAATTATTATATTTTTTATTGAAAAAAATTCTTAGTTAAAAAACTTACCACTACATTGTCCACATCCATATGCTTTACCAAGCATAGAAACAGCTGTAGTTATACGAAGACTACTTAAGTCTGGCATTTGAAGTGGAAGTTGCTGCTTTAATTGTGCCATTTTTTCTGAAAATAGAATAAAAAATAAAAGATAATGCAAAAATTTTCAATATTAAAATATATAAAATAAATTAAATATTTTTTTATTATGAAACATGTTAATATTTAACTATAAAGAAAAAATTGAATTTAAAAAATAATGATTTAATATTATACATTATAATAAATATTTCTATATGTATTATATATATTTATATTATATATATTTACAGAGATTTTCTGTTTCACATTACAACTCCAAAGATTATTGCAACAAATCCACGTTGCATTGTAAAACCATGCATTGTTTCTGATTTATCTGAACCCGTAATTACATTCAATTTGTGTGAGTATTACAACACTTTTTTATTTAAAAATACTTAATTAATTTATATCATTTAATATAAAGATTTGATATAAAAAAATTTTTAATTATATTCAGAACTTAATTATATTTTCATAATATTTTAAAAATAAATGATATGGTAGAAAGTAAATACAATAACTAAAATTACAATTAAATTTTAAAAGATCTTTTTAGAAACAAATTTGATATTTTCATATCTTTTAGTATCTGGCGATAAAATAGTATGCAAATGTGCAAACTTGACATCTTTAAATCTTTTGGAACTTTACAACAAACACATTACACCTTTGTCTCCATGTGAATCTGAAGATTAAGTTTAAAAGAAGTGGTTCTTTTTGTAATAATATAATTTGGCTATTTAATTATTTTTCTTCTTCCTAATCAAGTTTTAAAAAGCATTGAATTTTTACAGCATAAGAAATAATTTATTTTTAAAATGGCAAGTCATACTTCAAATAATAAAAATTATAATATGAAACTGATTGACACACTTTATAATCAAGTTCCAGCTTTTACTGATGTATTTGATGAAGAAACATGGTATATTTTTGTTGCCTGCTTTGTAACAGGAACATTTTTAGTTGCATTTATTCTTTCAAGATTTATCACATTGAAACCTGTAGAATAAATGTATCATGTTGTTTACAAAAAAATGTAATTCATATTCATATAGAAAAAATATTAATTTACATTTAGTTATATACATTATATATATTAAAATTTGTTAAGATTATATTATAATAATTATAATTTTTCTGTATATTTTCTATAAATTGTAAATATAAAAATCTATAGAATTTTTCTTGTAAAACAATTTATAACAAAATATATTGTAATTAATATCTTATATAAAAATATTATGTAATTTGAACATATTTTCAATTACTTGAAATATTCATTTAATAATTATATATATTGTTTTTATCATAATTCATTAATTTTATGTGTTGTGAACGTACACTCTGAAATTAACATTTACACTGCGAAGTTTTTATAATTATATTTTCATAATTTTAGTAAACATTAAACAATTCATATTTTTAATGTAATAAAGATTGTTTAATATTTAATAATAAAAGATTAATGAAATATAAATATAATGTCTAACCCTCCTTTTGATATCTATATATATATAATGTAACACAGTATGTAAGAATATATCTACATATATTTCATATCATTAAGTCTATCATAAAATATATTTAGCAATAAAATTATGAAATATCTATAATTTAAAATAAAAATAAAAATATTTAAAAATATTTAATAATTTTATATAATTATCAAAATATAATTGCTTTCAGTAAATATATATATACATAATTTATTTGTATTTTTAATTATTTTGCGAAAAAATTTATTTGGCATTGAAAGTTATATAAAAAAAAAAACATTGTGATAAAATATAAAAATATAAAACAGATATTTCTTGTAAAATAAATGAAAGCAAAATTAGAAATCATAATTTTCATGCTTTGATCTCTCTCTCTCTCTCACACACACACACACACACACACACATTTATTTTCTAAAAAATTCTTACAATATGTATTTATGTTATCATATTGAAACATAAAATATGCCTGTATGACTATTTTTTTAAATTATTAAATTAATATCGAAACCTGTCAAATTATCTAAAAATATGTTTTTAAAAATTTCATCAAGTTTTTGTTATTGCTTTATTATAAAAATTTTGGTCTTTTTCTTTGTTTTATTTTTTTCGTAATGCATTGTATAACTATAAATTTATATTTATATTTATTTATATTAAAATATTTTTTTCAATTTGTTATTTTTATATTTTCCTTTATTTTTATAATAATTTCTATTATATTTATAATATTATATTTATAATATTAATATTAATTAAAAAAAATTTGTTTGCAAGATATTGCATATGTATATTTATAATTTTTTGTTAAATTAATTAAAAATAAATAAATTAAATAAGAAAATTTAATTTTTTTACTCAAAATTAATTCATTTTTTTTATACATATGAAATATACATTATATATAGAATAACTATGATTTTTTAATGTCAATGATTAATAAAATAAATAAACAATTTATTACAATTAAATATATCGTAGATAAAAAATGTTTTTATTTATTATTAAATACAATTTTAAATAATTATATAAATAAATAATAATATTATGAATGAAAAATGAAACAAAATTTTATTGAAGTACAATTTTCTTGTATTTTTTATGTATTATAATTCAATCGTATAATATACATATCATACATATGTAAAAATTTTATATAAATATAAAAAGAAAAAACAAACTATTGTGATTAATGAAATGATATTTCATACAAACATTTTTTTTCTTTTTTTATTTTTGTAAGATAAAAAAAATCTTTAAAGATAGCAGTTTAAACAAGTCGAGTTTAAACAAAGAGAATAGAAAAAAATTCTAGCTTTAATTTAATATTACATATTCATTCTTTGTTTTAAAATCTGCCAAATTAAAAATAATTAAATATTAACAAATTTAAAATATTAATAAATTAAATTTATTTAAGCCATTTTTTCTAAATTTATGTTCTTTATATATACATATGCATTCTCTCTCTCTCTCTCTCTCTCTCTCTCTCTCTCTCTCTCTCTCTCTCTCTCTCTCTACATACCTGTATGCGATTACAATAAAAAAAATTAATATAAATTATAAATTACTTCATAAATTATAATTTGATATTATATTTATTATTATTGATTATTATTATTGTAATTTTATATAATCAACGGATAAATTGAATAATTTAATAATTTAAGAAAATTCAATAATTTTAATTGTTAATTTAATTTTAATTTTAATTGTACTTAAAATTATATTATAGAAATACAATTTATAATATTAATATATAGATATCTATTATATATTAACTCTATTATATAGTATTTCTATTTAGATTTTAATAAAAATTTAATAATAAAATTAATGAAATTTATAATTTTAATTCATGATTATTTAAAGTTTTTATAATATTTAAATTATATATTTATTATGTATATATTAATATTATCATTTCTATGTATTATTACGTATATGTTAATATTACAATTTTTTTATATAATAGTATAAATTGAAAATACTATAAATATTTTAAATTTAAATTAAAATTAAATATAAATATGTTATGCATATGCATATGGATAACATACAAGTTATGTGCATATGCATACAAGTTATTTCTTACCTCTTTATTCTTCTTCTCACTCCCCTTTATGTAAAATATATAATCTATCTTTTATATAGACATACTTATCCTATATAATCCCTATATTCTTTAATTTTTCTATTTTTAACGATTTTATTATTATTTTTATTTTTCTTATGGCTTAATTATTTTTAAATAAATTAAACTACTATAATACTGATTAAATTGCTAATATGAAATATAAGTACAATTAAATATATTAATACAATTTAAAAACTCACCTATTTTATAGAAGTAGAATTCGATTTATAATATGTAAAATAGTCAAGCACTCTTGATATTCACATAAACATTGTCTTTTTTTTATTTTTTTTATTAACTTCACGTGATGCTGTTTATATATGAACTACGTAATAGTTATTTTATATATAGCACTGTAAAAAGATACATCTTCCGTGATGAAATATATAACAATAATTTATTACATATAATAATAATTAATTACCTATATAAAAATATATATATTACGTAAAATTTATTTTTCATGTTGTTTAACAAACACGTATTTTCAGAATAATGAAAAAAATCAAGTATTATATATATTCAAAAGTTGTGTAAGAAAATTATATTATATTTGATTTATATTCACAATAGATATCAATAACAATGAATTATATTAATTTAAAATAAATAAATTTTTTAAACAGCCACTAATGTTTACGTGTATACAGCAAAATATAAAACAAATCATCAAATTTGATGAAACATATTAACAACGATATAAACAACGATAATTTTTATTTTTATTGATTAAAAATTTTATAAGTTAATATGAAATTTTTTTTAATTTCTGCGCATTTAATTTACCAAAAATTAAAAACTCAGAAAGGGTAATAGATTTATGCTAAATCGCAAATACATTATAAAAACAAAAATATTTCTTTGATCTATACAATAATTAATTATTTATTTCTCAGAATATACGTGTATTTTATATAAAAAATATATACAAATTTTGTATTAATAAAAAATAAAAAAAAAAGAATTATTTCATAAAAATGTTTCCATACGTGCAACAGTTCGAAACTTTAGTTGATATTATTTTCTTATTCTTGTTTAAAAAGTGTATTGTAAAGAAAAAATATTGTTTTTTTTTAAATAATTTTTTTGTAATTTAATGAAGCAATTTGGTTTTTCCGTGAGATAAATTCACAAATTTTTTTAAATTTACTTGAAAATAAGAATTATTTTACTTTCACATATGTTTACATGTACATACAATTCAGGATCATATATATACAATATATCGATACAATTATGTAGTATATTTTATTTTCATTGCTAGCAACAAATAAAAAAATTAGATCGTCGAACCAATTGTACAAAACGTTATAAGAAAGAATTAATAAACATAAATTTTGTACAAATAAAATTTCCTTGAAATATATATTTTAAATATTAAATATAATATAATTTATTAAATATAATATGATTTTATTTATTTATTTTTATTATTTTCTAACCTTAACTGTTTATTTTTCTTAATTTCCAGTATATGCGCAAAATATTTGATGTGATTTTGTTGTGTGATATGTTTCCTTTAAGAACAATAGTTTATACGAACATTTTTACGAACGAAACTACAATCACGAAAACAAACAGAATAATGAGATATTATAATCTGAAGCGCGAAATGTTTTAATGATTCTTTACTGCCAAACTCTTAAAGATTTTACAGAATGGCCACTACTGCTTTCACTCGCGACGCGTTCCTACCAAACAGTGTTCCTACCAAACACGATTTCAGTAGAAGCGGGACGAAGCCGCCAAAAACGATCACCAAGTGTCAAGGTTGCCATTGTACACGAACATGCTGAATATACCAATTGTGTGAGTATGTTAAATGCACTCGCATACACTCTACACTCTCCTTATCTCTCTTATGCTAGTAGATTCACAAAACAATAATATTTTATCGCGATACTCGCACTTATTGTATAATGACACTAATATCGAAATATTCTAACTTTTATTGTAAATAATTGTAATGCACTTTTATATTTTATGCTTCATAAACGCAATATGTTTTTTATAAGTTTACCGGGTAAGTTTTAGCGACATTCACCAAAACAGTAATCAACATCCGCGAGAAAGACCCTACTACTTGTTCGATTCACCAGTTATTGCGAATGCTCATGTGGTCAGGATTGTAACAAGTAAATAGAATGAGGTATCATTGTCTCATAAATTTGTTTACAAACAATGATGCATATATGATGGCATTCAAATTTATTTACTTGTTATATATAATTAAACTGTATATAATATATCTATACTAATAATATATATAATATGAATTAAATATTGAAGCTTTTTTAT